CATTAAATTCCAGTGAAATATATTTATGTTTGTGGTTGTAATGTGACAAAATATGGAAAAGTTCAAGGGGTATGAATACTTTTGCAAACCACTGTATACCTGCAGTCTGAGAGCGAAGTGCTCTGTTAGGAAAGTCTGGAACAATAAGATGTTTAATATATGATGGAGCTTGGTTGTTGAGAGTTTGATATAACTCAAATACAAATAAATTGCTAATAAAATATGTTCACCATTATTATTGCACAAACCTTTACAATAATCATTAATGAAAAAAAAGTATTATTATTATGTTTGTTTATATTGTTCTTATTCCCATGTTACACATATACATATTAGCAGAGTTTCAGGTAATATTTGGGGTCACATGTTTCTGTTAATGCTTTTTTGTGGGTCAGAAGCTAAAAAAAATTGAAAACAACTATTCTATAGAATACAAAACAATACATATTTTAAACACATTTACTAGGTTAAAACTTTTGAGTCATTTTAGCTAAACACCTTACGATAAACACTTTGTTTTTAAAAAAGTTTCCTAAAAATTGATTTTAGTTTAATTAATAAAGCATTATTCTATAGATCATAAATAAACATTTATTTTATATTAATTTATCAGCTTTTAATCAGCATCTCCTGTTGTCTGAGAGTGAAAACCGTTGAAACTCCTCCCCACACACACACACACACACAAACACACACACACAAACAAACACACAAAGGCTCTGTTTTCTACGAGTTAGACTCAGTGTAAACATTTTGTATAAAGCTGATCAGACTCATGACTGAATAAAACTCGATGTGTTTCTGTGGATCTGTCAGCAGCAGAAACTCCTCAGCAGCTGCAGCTTCAGTCTGTGTGCAGCCCCACCCACAGGAAGGGGRAAAAAATACAAGGCTGAGTTTCAACAGACAAGAGAGAGAGAAGCTGTAGAGCAGAAAAAACTAACTTCACACTGCACAGCTGGTAAGTTCTGTTTGTTTTATTCCTTTAAAGCAAAGAGCTTTAAAACTTCCAAGCAGGAATGTGAGGAGGTGAAACCTGATCCCTGTGAGAGGCCTGGGAGGGTTTTTATTTCTCAGAATAAAAAGCTGAGCGGCAGAAAGGAGCAGCGGGAGAACTGGACCGAAGGCAAACGGATTCAGGTGAAACTTTTGTTCTGTTGGAGGCGATCAAACCTTCAGACAGACGGGTTCAGGAGGCGTTTAAAGTCTGACAAGTTTCTGCAGCTTTCAAACATTCCTTTAAGAAACAGGAACAAAGAGAACAAACTAATGTTTCCTGTTTTCAAACACACACACACTCACACACACAGACACAGAGTGTGTTTTATAATTAGCTGCTGATGGAAAACACAGCTATGAGTCCAGCTGCAGATGAAGGAGTTTCCTGCTGATTTGTTCAGATGATGAAGGTTTCTGAGCAGATCAGATCTGTGTCATGTTAACGTGTTTTAATCAATTTCATTTCCCTCTGAGATTAAAATAATGATGTCGCATTAAAGCTCCTCATCTTTCCAACATGTTTAATTATTTTTAATGAAACATTTCTTCTCCTCGAATCCCTCAAATCCTGTAGTTTTATTATTTATTTCACATTATGTTATTATTGTTTTCATGTATTGCAGTTTTTAGCAGTTTTAAATGCGACAGATTGTTAAAATTATCTTGAAATTCAACCTTTTTTGCATAAATGCTGTTCTAAAGTCAAACAAACTCCTCTGTTTTTGTCAAAACTTGACTAAAAACATAAAACAAACAAAAATTTATTTTTAATTCATAGTTTATTGATTGTTAGAGTATGTTTAACTCAGTGCTCTACACTGTTTTTTTTAACATTGTTTTAACATTTTGTGTTGTGCTGCTGCCTCTTAACCAGGTCACTGCAAATGAGAATTCAACTGACTCACCGGTTAAAATCAAGGTTGAACTAATTTTACTTGAACTCATTTTAAACAAAGTATGCAAAAGTTCTCAAAAATGTCAGATTTTCTGACAAAATGTTTATTTGCTGCCCAGGCATTTTGTTAGAATTGGAATTAGTTTGAAATATTTTTACA